TCTCGAAAAGACAAGAAGGGGAAGTCGCCGAAGGGGTCGGCTAGGGCAGGAGACCGAATAGAAGGCTTCGGGCAGGTTGATCTTCCCTCTCTCTCTCTCTCTCTCTCTCTCTCTCTCTATCTCTCTGGATCGGTACAGAGGGAGAAGGATCGGGTGGAGAGGAATCGGGCTTGGGGAAGAGTTGGGATATCAGAAGTCGTGGTCGGCTTCGATCAGGAGTGGCTCTAGCGTCGGACAGGAGTCAGAGGAGGTAGGAGAGGCAGAGAGGTTTCAGCGGGAGAAGGTAGAGCAGCGGGATGGAGAGGGAAGAGCTCGGCTTCTATTTAACGATGCATGTGGTCGTTCGATCGAGGCAACGTCGCAGGATTTGCGCAGGAAACACGGAGAATCGACTGGAGCGGCGCCGAATCAGCAGGATTCGCGGAGGATTTCGTGGATCCGACGGGTATGTGCTATAGGATTTCTACGTTGCTTTTTCCTCTCTTTTGTCCCTTTGGTTATTGTTCAGAGGTCAACATCAGCCTAAACTAGGCATCTTGAACTAATCTTGGTATAGCCTTCATTACAAACTCTTAAGCCTTTTTGATCTCTTCCAAGAACTCTAGATCATATTTCCTAACATTCCTGTAGAACTGCTAAGAGAATCTATGCCTTAAATCCCCCTCCATAAAGCCTTAAAAGTGAAATCCTAAGGGGTAGCTCCAAGATTGGCTAGACCTAAGCTCTTAGCCAACCCGTTTTTATTGTCAACACCCCCAATAAAATTTCTTTAACTATCTAGGGTGTTTCTCACATTCTTAGCCACCCATTATAATAATTTGGAGCTTTGGATACATCTTCCAAAGCCACGTCATAAATTTGACCCTGAAGCAATAAAATGTATTTTTATTTGCTATTCTCCTTACTAACAAGAATAGAATGATATTTTTCCCTGCTAAAAAAATATTACCCCCTCATGGATTTGTCCTTCTTTGAAAATCATTAAATCTCACATTGAGAACACAAACTCACTTTATGAATATGAGTTTTTGGATAATATCAATCCTATTTTATCTCAGCTTATCCTTCTTCAAGATTTGCTTGAATCCAAGTCTTTTGAATACTTTGAAAGTTTTGATCACCACATCTGAGCAAGGTGATACCAATTCTAAGGATAATATAAAGATGGTTATTAATGTTCTCAAGAAAGGAATAATTTCTTGATCCAAACACCTAAATGGAGAAATACAATTGATGAAGAAACTCAAGCCATTGAAAGAAATGGTACGTCAAAACTTTCAAATCTTCTGTAAGGGAATAAATTGTTGGATGCAAATGAATCTTTAATGTGAAATACAAAGCAATGGATGCAATGAACGATACAAAGCAAGACTAGTTGTGAAATGATTCACTCAAATCTATAAAATTGGTTATTAAGAAATCTTTTCCCCAAGTACTCGGATGAATACTGTTATGCTAATTTTTTCTCTTGTTGTTAATTTAGATTTGTCATCAATTAGATTTAAAAAAAAACATTGTTCTAAATGGGGACTGTGATGATGAAGTGTACATGACAATCCCTTCTTGATTTAAGAGTAATAGCAGTACAAACAAAGTTTGCAGGCTCAAGAAATCCTTATAGGGCTTAATACATTTATCAAGGATGTGGTTTAACATATCCACCATGGTGATTAAAAGGAAATGATGCTCTTAAGGACAATATGGTCACCTTTATTTCTATTTTAATTGTATATTTTGATGTTGACAAGAACCATGGAAAAAGAGATAAAAAGTTGAAAGTTGTCCTAGCTAAAAAATTGAAATGAATGATCTTTGTTTATTAAAATATTTATATGCATGAACATAACAAGATCAAACAAGGGGACATATGTCTGTCAATAGAAATGCAAGTTGGACTTACTAAAGGAAATTAGTGCGTTTGAGTGTAAGCACACCAACACGCCAGTGGGTAAAGTTGGGATTAAGAAGATTTAACTCCTATTACAAAGGGAGTTAGCAACACTTAGCAGGGAAGCTTATTACATATCTCACACTAGATTTTAGTTTTGCTTTCATGTTGGTGTTGTCGGTTATCATAACCCAACAATGGAGCATCTTGATGATGTATGCAAGATACTATGGTATTTTAAAAATGCACGTAGAAAGAGTTTATCCTTTAAGAAGGGACTAACATAGGTATAAAAATCTTTATTGATGCTGATTGGGGTGGATTTGTAATATATTGTAATTGTATATGATATTGCTCATTTATATGGGGAAATTTAATTATGTAAATAAGAAACAATCCACTCTTCCTTGGAGCATTGCCTAAGCAAAATTTAGGGCTATGGTTGATGAAATTTGCGAAGATGTGTTTTAAATGTTTTATCAAAGATTTAGGAGTTTTCACTATAAATCCTACTATTATAATAAGGTTTGACAATCATACTAATATTAGCATTGCTAAAAATCTTGTCCATTATAATAGGATTAAGCACATTTGGATTGATAGATACTTTATAAGGGAAAAAACTTGAATGAATAATCATCGCTAGTTACACTAACAAAATATCATATTGTTGGTATCGTTATTAAGATAAGAATGATCAACATATATTCCTAGCTTGAAGGAGAATATGGAAATCCTAAAATCAGATTTGGGGCATTAGACACATTCCATATATTCAGGAAACAATAAAAAAAATTATGTTAATTCCAAAATACACTCCAGCTGCTATCCTGCTCAAATTCGGCCTATTCAATCAATTTGCTAGCTTGCGGCCATGACAACTTTACTTGCTACTGCTTGCTACCCTCCAAGGCTACAAACCCTACCAACAGTGCCATTAACCCATTAGCTTACTCCAGCTACACGTGCCGGCCTGCAGGCCAGAAGCTGGGCCATCTAGCTGTTTTCTGCCATGGATAAAGGATTTAATTTTTGTTCATTGGAATTGACTAGGTTAATTTTTTTTCTTATTTTGTTCACTCTTTTAGGTAACCGATTTTTCTTCCTATTATAAGTTGGCTTGTATGTCCTATAAAATATTTACCTTTTCTACCTATTGAGAAGGTGAAAACAATGTTATATCCTCATATATTTTTTCAACACTCACATCAATATGAAACCAGCTCGTTAAAAAGTTGAATTCAACTTTCTGTGTGAACGGGCCGTCTGTTCCAATCACATGACATGTCAGCCTTATTTAACTAGTGTCTGCATTCATAGCAACATATATTTGTCCAATGGTTATTCGGTAAGATTTGCTCCTCTTGGAGCTGTTGAAATTCCTTGGCATTTTCCTCTCATAGTGCGATCTTTTTATTGTGCTTGTCAGAAGAGACCATTTGTTTGAAACATCTAAAGTTCATGTACTTGCAAGGAAAATTACGTGTTCTCTGCATTTAAGCTAAAAAATAACATTTTCCCACCCAAAAAAATCTTCAAATATTGTTTCATTCTATTATAAAGATCTAATTCCTTGGTAATTGAGGTCATCATAATAACATTAAGACAAATAAGGCATTTTGTCTGTTGCTTCTGCCACAAGTAATGTACTAAAAAGGCTTGTATAGGCAACTCAGTTATTAATTAAGTGGCAAACAGATAATGTTATGCTTTCATTTTCCTTCAGTTTCCATGTATTCAAATTCTTTTATGTTTTCATGTATGCAAATACATAAGCACACAAATCATAGTATATAGCTACATGTATTATCAAAATAATGATGGACGGCCTGTCATTTATGGCATTTTTTATATGAATTATGTTACCATCATGTATAATTCCACATATATATTAAGCATTTTCTAATATTTGTTTTTTTCTTTAAATTTTTGACAAACTAGTAGATTTACCAGTTTGTGTATCATGTGTTTTAGGGATCCATCATATTATGTTTCTGGTAATCCTTGGCACTTCATTTTAATGCTTTTCACTTGCACTTGGGTGGGTGTAACTAGTGCATGGAACGCTGTTCAGTTTGGGGCCTAGGGAGGATTTTTTTATGCAACCTTCAATCATAGAGGCTATTTCAGCCCAATTTCTTATGCAACCTTCAATCATAAAAATACTAATGCGGTCACAAATTTTCTCTTTCGTGCATTGATAAAACCAAAGTTGTTAGCTGATGTTTGCATTCAGAAGATTAGAATGTAGACAATCTTAGCTTGCCTACCACGGAATGTAGAGAATTATTGAACGTACATGTGGATTTGTACACACCACAGACAAAAACAAAAAAATGCAGAGCAAGAAGCATACTGAAATAATCTCAGTGCTATATTCAATATGTTTTCGATGAAGGATCCATCATTAAGACTTCTTTAACCTTGAAGGAACGTTTCAACATCGAGGAAAGTACATTGTACAATGTAATTAAGGTAATGGGATTACTTGGAAGCCTTTGTGTTTATGGTAAATAGTCCAACATCAACAAATTTATATAGGAACGTTGTGATTAGCTGCTTACCAGCTGGGGTTGGCGTTAGTTTATTTTCTGAATCTGAATCATAAATCTGACACTTCATTTTGTTTTAGGGCCTACCTATATAGATTCTATGAACAGAAACTCTTCCTCTTCCCAGCTGGGGTTGGCGTTAGTTTATTTTCTGAACCTGAATCATAAATCTGCCCCTTATATTTGAGAGTCTACCTATATATTTTATGAACAGAAACATTTCTTCCTTGCTCTACATCATCAATCAATACTTTTTATTTTGTTCTAAACCTTTAAGATTATTTTTATTGTGTTCTAAACCTTAAGATTACCCTTGTTCTTATAAGGATATGGCTTTGCTACTTTTTGCTAAATTATTGTATTAAGAAATGTCAAGTGGCAAAAGCTCTTGAATACTTATGTTCCTTTTAGTCATTTGACCACTTAATTTTATTCCATGTTAATTTCATTCCGACTTGCATTTTTACCGAAGTGGTTATTTGCTAGTGACTGCCTTCTATGTTAGCTTTGGTTGCAGTGATCCTTGTCTTTAGCATTTGCCATTTCTACTTTTGTTTTAGGTTCACAACATCTGAGGGATATATTCTATCGGATGGGTCTAACAGACAAGGATATCGTTGCTCTATCTGGTGGCCACACTCTGGTAACATTGTTGTTAAACTTGGCATCCTAAACTTTTCTTCGCAGCAAAATTCTAACTTTGGTAATACATTTTTGTAGGGGAAAGCTCATTCTGAGAGGTCAGGATTTGAAGGCACTTGGACAAAGGAGCCTCTCAAGTTTGACAACTCTTATTTCGTGTAAGAAAGCAAGAAAACCTTATTACAAATCAATAAAAACTACATTAAAGATTTACTTGAATAACAAATGCTATCCCTTCAAATTTTTATCAGAGAACTGCTGAAAGGAGAATCAGCGGGGCTACTGAAGCTTCCCACTGACAAAGTCCTGGTTGAAGATCCAGCTTTTCGTCCCTATGTTGAGCTATATGCAAGGGTAATTTTTCTAGTTGCAGAAAGTATGTTCACTTACATAACGTAAGAGCAATTTCTATGAAACTCTTTGTTGTGTAGGATGAAGAAGCTTTCTTCAAAGATTATGCTGAATCACACAAGAAGCTTTCGGAACTCGGCTTCACTCCACCATCCACTGCAAAGGGTACAAAATGTGATGTGAAGACGAGCACAGTATTAGCGCAGAGTGCCGTTGGAGTTGCCGTCGCCGCCGCGGTTGTCATCCTAAGCTATGTCTACGAGATCTCAAAGAAACATAAATAAAGGCTGGCTCTGCCTTTACTGGTTAGTGTCAATATTCTGAATCTGAATGGTATGATTTAAGGGGAAAAAAAAAACTTAAATGCATTAATGAGAGATTGTTATGGAATGCATTTGCTCTATATAAAATATATGCATGATGTAAGGGATACTGTATCCATTCCCAACAGCATTAACTCAAAAGAGTTTACACATTGGTTCTGTATTGTGTTCAAATGTATAAAAGACAAAAAAAAAAAAAGGAGAATCTGTTTGTGATCAGCACATTATATCAATCAAAAGGAGTTCACAATTTAATAGTTTGATTGGGGTTAGATTGGATGATATGATTTATAATGATTTTATTTAAATATAATATAATTTATATAATCATGTGCCACTACTATATCACTATATGAGAAATTTTAAAAAATTCTATTATGAATTAATTAAATAATTTTAAAATTAATGACATTCAATAGTTTGAGTAATTGATTACTTCTTCTGCAGTTTTATTAATTGATTAAATAATTTTAAAAATTCTTTCCTAGATTTTCATCATCAAAGATGTTCTTAGGACTAGTTAGGAGTTGAGTCACCAAATGTTGCTTCATTGAAAGCTTGCTTACCAAAATTCTCTAGATAATCACTCCCAAGTTTTTCATTTGATTCTCCTATGTTATCTTAATTATCTTCATCTACAAATAAAAAATATAAAGTTTTTATCATATGTTTTATTCAAATAACTTATATTTAATTGGTATCTTTTTATAAATTTGTTTAGTACATGATATGTTTGGCTCTTCAATAGTTAGAAAATTGTGTTATCTTTATAAATCTCAATCTCTAAGTCCACTAAATTTAATTCTTGAGCTAATTAATCATCAAGTACCTAGAAGTCAAATATTTCAATATTTATGTAGTGAAAAAGGATCATAATAATAATAATTATTTTTTAGCTAGAACTTACAAAATAAATATAGAGCATGATTAATATTATGCAACTTTCTTATAAAATCATAAAAATATATAAGTTATATCTATTCCTCAAATTGAGGTTATAATAAATCTTCACAAAATCATTGAATCTTTAATGTTTTAGATGATTTTTTTCTATTCGAATAAATTTACTTTAAGACACTTCAGTTCCTTGCATATTCAAGCAAAGAAGATGTTTAGGTATGACTAAATATAGCTAATTATAGTTCAAGACCCAAAGAGTAGGATCTTTGGAGAGTGTATGTAGGTCGTTTTGACCGAACCACTATTAAAATCTAGTTTGTATTTTCTTTACTTTTATGTAATTATTTTCATGCACTTTTGCTTACTTTGACTATCTTTATGAAAGCTCGTCGATGTAAATCTCTGGTTGAAATCTTACTTAAATTAAAAAAAAAAAATAGATTTTTCTTAAAGTTTAAAAATAAAAAAGTATTTGCTTTATATTTATGTTTTGAAATACTTTATTTTCTTAATCTTCCACATATTACTCTAGTGTCATGTAAAATATTTTTAAAATACCAATTCACCATCTCTATTTGTGTGCCGTAAGCACTTTCAATTGGTATCTGAGCAAGATTCTTACTATGTTTGGTTTTAACACATTGAGTAGATCCATATGGCACACTTTATAAATAAAAATACCTTCGAAGGGTATTGTATTACCTAGATGCTACTTTTTTATAATATTTCTTTTGGTTTAAGGAAGATTTGAATGTCTAATTTTTTAAAATCTATTGATTTTTGTATGTGACACATGATTAAAATTGTTTATTCTTTATGTTTTAAAATTATAAATGGTGTTAAAGTAAAAAATACATTTTTCTGAATGGAGCATAGATGATCGTGATCTTGCTCAAATGAATGCTAAATATCTTAACTACTTTTTTCATGCTTTAAAATATGAAGATTACATGTGAGTGTCTACTTGTACTAGTAGTAAAGAAATTTTAGATAGAATTTTCATAATTTATGAAGGAACTAGTGAATCAAAACAACCCCATATGGATTAACTCTTGCATGAATATGAATAATTTTGCATGAAACCCAGTGAATGTATTTTTAACATGTATACTATATTTACCAAAATAATTACATCACTCCATGCTTTAGGTAGAGACATCTCTAATGCTAAAAATGTCAATAAAATTTATGTTTTTTACCTTAATCTTGGGATACTAAGGGTACTACAATTTTTTAGTATAAATATTTAAATTCTTATTCTATTAACAACCTACTTTTTTTTTATTTCTATGTGAAAAAGCTCTATCAAAGAAATGCAGATATAGGTGAAAGGAAGAAGGAGACAACAATATCATTTAAAGCTGATGATATTAAAAGTAGTTATTTTAGCACCAATAGAAATGAAAATATTATTTTGATGACCAAATAATTTAAGAAATTTTTGAAACATAAGTAGAAGCACCATAATGACAAAAATCGAGGTAAAAGTTTAATGTTGAATAAGATTTCTACTAATATTTATTATGAATGTAAAAAAAGCCTAGAACATATTTGATCAGATTGCCCGAACGTAAAGAATCACCCGAGTGAATGGAAATGCATCAATAAGAAGGGAAAATAGAGAACACAAAAAGCTTTTTGGTAAACTCATATTCAGAATTATCAGAGACAGAAGCTAAAAGAAGGTAACCAATTAATGTTTTATGGCCAACAATAGCACTGGTGACTCCGATAATGATCAAATATGTGATCTCACTTATGATGAATTACTTTTCTTTCAGAATAATTACATGATAGCTATAGAAAATTGAAAAAGAAGCATTCATGCTTTAAAATAGAACATTCTACATTGCAAGAAGAACATACCAATCTCATTAATAATTATACAAAATAAAAAACCAATTATGTTACATTAGAAAAGAAGCATCAATTCTTAAATAAAGAGCATTTTGAATTAGATGACGCATTTAATGAGTTCAAAAAAGATGCATTGCATTTAGAAGAAGATGAAAATACATTGAAAGTAAAGATAGGCATATATAAAAGTGCTAATGAAATTTTAATAAAAAATTACAACACTTAAAAAAATTATTTCAGGACCTAAAACCAATATTGAGCTACACATTAGAATACAATATGCACCACCATCCTTTGGAAGGAGACATCACTCTTCATATAGATTATAATTGAATGGAATGCACTTCTTCGACTAGAGTAGCTAGAAGGCCTTTAAGAGCATCGTCTCCAAGCTCAGTAGGGTCTATAGTTGTATAAAGCTTAAATGGTTCAAGCCCTCGAAAGGTCAATGTGACTTAGAACCTTCAAAGTAGGAGATTTAGTCTTGGTTCTTAGGAGGCCTATCTTAGCTCACCTAAGATTAGTGGGAAGTTTGAACCGACATGGGAAGGACCCTAGACAGTCTATGAAGGGGCTCGTATTAGCTAGTTATTTGTAAAGAAAATCACCCAATGTTACTTGTCAATGGGTGTTTCCTTAAGAAATACTAAGCTTGATGTAACTCAAATTTTCAATTAATAAAATGACTTCGAGTTCAGAATTAAATTTTCTTAATTTTGTTCAATTCAAATGACCATCATTAAAATCAATCCATTGTTGAAACTTGTTAAGTATGAATTAGGTTGTTAGACCTAAGCTTATGTCCCAGCGGCTAACTAAGAGGGGGGGGATGAATTGTTATTTTAAAAATTCCTCTTATTTTAAACTAATTAAAACTTTAATGAATTTTTGAAAATAATTTTTCAACCACAGATCAACAGAAATAGTAAAGTAAAAAAGCAACGGAAAATAAAAGACACAAGATTTATAGTGGTTCAGTCAAACATGACCTACATCCACTCCATGAAGTCTCTCACTTCAGGTATTGCACTATTACCACTTAGTGTCTCTCCTTTTGTCCCCATAGCAAGGCGGAGAAGCCTTCACAAAAACTCTCTTCCACCACTGCCCGGTGCAGCAGAGAACCATTATCCTTTTACACCCTCCAAGTATAGGCTGAGTACCTCCCGCTGTTCTCACTCTCCAAGTGTAGGCAGAGAATCTCCCACTGTTCACACTCTCCAAGTGTAGCCAGAGAGCCTTCTGATGTTCACACTCTCCAAGTGTAGGTAGAGAATCTTTCGCTGTTCACACTCTCCAAGTGTAGGTAGAGAATCTTCATCCTTTCACGCTTCTCCAAGTGTTGGCAGAGAACTAGATCTTCTTGAAAGATCTTCTCACGATAAATCTAGAAGGACAAAAGAAAAGAGTGAAGTAATCATAATTCACAAATAAAGATTCTTACCTTTGAGTACCAAGTGAACCATTCACGCTCCAGTAGTAAGAACTCTCCTTCAAACACTCTCTTTGACTTTCTCCTTCAATCTCCATTCAGTTTGCATGAAGAACAATGGAAAAAAAGATTGCATGACAGTCTAAAGTGGATCTTTTATATAAAAGACACAAAAAACCATCCAAAAACTATAATTATTCAAATATGTTCGTACTCGATCGTCCAGTACGATCGAATTTTATACGTACGAACAATGTAAAACTATTGCATACAAACTCAATGTGAATTGGTACGAAATAACTTCATACCCAATCATCGTCCCATACGAACATAGTTCATTATGTACGAATATTTATTTCCAAGCTTCGTTGGAACGAAACTTTAGGACGATCCATATGTTTAAGGAACAGAGGACATCATCCTAGGATGAATATATAAGATCGTCTGGACGATTAGTTCAAAGCATGAGTCAAGAGAACATCGTTCTGGGACGAATAGGGTAAAATCATCTGGATGATTAGTTCAAAACATGAGTCCAGAGAACATCGTCCTGGGATGAATAAACAAGATCGTCTGGACGATTAGTGCAAAGCATGGGTACAGAGAACATCATCCTAGGATGAATATGGTAAAATTATCTGGACGATTAGTACAAAGCATGAGTCCAGAGAACATCATCCTGGGACGAATGAACAAGATCGTCTGGACGATTAGTGCAAGCATGGGTCCAGAGAACATCATCCTGGGATGAATAGAGTAAAATCTTTTGGATGATTAGGACTTAAAAAAAATTTTGCCCGTTCTGTTCGTTCCATCTCTCTTTGGAGAGTATAACTGACCTGATCGTCCTATACGAACATAGTTTGTCCTATACGATTAGTATTTTAAAATTTTTATTTTTAAAGATCTCCCTAGTGTATGTGTGCTAAGTTACTCAATTACAATCACACTCTCTCTGACTAAAAAATAAATAAAATACAGACTCCAAGTTATAAAATATTACAATCAGATCTTGATTTGAAGTCTTCAATAATCTGGAGTATGATTTTCCTGAAATATTAGTACA